TTGTTAAAAAATTATTCAATAAAACATTTCAAATTCTTTTACCCTCAAAAAACTTTGCCTTCAAAATAAGAGTGCGTCATATTTAGGTGTTTCTTATGTTCCGAAAAATACGGTAATTTTCTCAACGATGCAATAAAGAGTTCCGAAAGAGGTAGTTGTTTTGAAAATCAGAAGTTGGCAAGCTCAACACAGAGCAATCACAGCTTCACTTGGCAAAAAGATTAGCCCCTTTCGGTAGCACCAACGCCTAGATTTTAATTCGTCATCATTTCTCATTTCCTGATGTAAGATTTCGTGATGATTACTATCGCAGACATATTGTCTGCGTCATTATATCTGCTTTCCCACAGTTCCTTGGGTGGGTGTATTTATCACGAAATAACTTGTTGTTCAAAGTTAAGATGAAAACAACATAAAAAGAAACAAAGAGGGATGGGATAAAACATCCTACATTTGCCAAACAGATGCTAATATCTGGAGCACAACTAAAGATTCAAATTATACGTGTGATGTAAAAGTTCCTAGCATCTTAAATAACATCTTTCACGGCATCATTATTTAATCTCTATATTTATTTATTTTCATTTACCGGTCTAAATATTCGAGAACTCTTATTATAAAAAATATGCGTTCTCCGGAGCAGATATGTCTATTTCGAGAGTCGGAGAAAAATCTGTGTTTGAAGGCACTATTCACACTTTACTTGACTTATACGACACACTTTATAGCCGAGCGGTAAAAGCACGTCAGATATAATGACGGTTTCGCGCTGAAACATGAAAGCTATTGCGTAGCGATTTTTAACATGTTTTTGTTTTAATCTCATATTCTGTATTGAGCCCTTTTTTTAAAAATTAAGTGCTATAGACAATGGAATTATACTCTATTTGATCTTATCCCATACCTATATATATATATATATATATATATATATATATATATATATATATATATATATATATATATATATGTGTGTGTATGTCTCCAGATATGGGATAAGAACAAATTTCATATGAGCGTTGTAAGACATTTGAAAATAGTTGTATACATTAATTGCTACGATGTTTGAGTGCCTCACTATTTAACGAAAACAAAAATTAATGGAACTTGTTTCCATCTGCGATTCTTTGGTTAAATGCACCCGAAACGACCTATTTTTGAAAAAAAAAAAAAAAAAAAAAAGACCGCAGCTGAAAAAATAGATTGCTTACAACAATGTGCAGCGAAAAACATCGTCGCAAAAACGAAATGAACCATCTAAAGCCTTTATACGTCTGAAGAAGGCGCAGTTGGTGCTGATTGGAATGACATTCCGCAATATTAGACGTTGAATTCAGACAAGTACTGTTCCCAAATGAACCGATTAAAGGCTTATATTTTTTATATAATGTTTATCCAGTATAAGACCCAAGAACCACTCCGAGTAGGCGGTTAATGTGTTGTGTTGTATGAGCGTAAGAAAGGACAAGAAATTCATGGAGCTAGGCAGGAAAGATAACAATTAACCATAGACCATAGACTTGAAGAGGTCAAGACTGTAGGGATTGGGAATATATATATATATAATTATTTATTTACAAATATGATTCCAACACGCTACATAAGAGAAGAGTTCTCATGTTTCAAAACAAGAGCCGAAAACTTCAATATAATTATTTGAATTAAATTGAATTTTGAAGATGCAACAGAGCTTACTTTAATTCAATTTAATTCAAATAATTATATTGAAGTTTTCGGCTCTTGTTTTGAAACATGAGAACTCTTATGTAGCGTGTTGGAATCATATTTTTAAATAAATAATTATATTTATGCTCTACTTTTGTATCGAGTACTATTTTTTAAAAATAATAACAAAAATACTAAAGAACTTTGGGTTATTTACCTAACGAGTTCTTTCCTATTTTCTATATATTTTTCACACACACATATATATATATATATATATATATATATACACGTGTGTGTGTGTGTACCTGATTAAGTAAATTAAATAAATATACCATATGGTGTACTTTCTTTGGAACAGAAAAAGATGCTCTCCAAAAATTAAGCAAAGTATTAGGAAACATGAAAACTTCGTTCAAAAATAGGTTTGATAAGTAATATCAATCCGCCTATATAGTAGCGATTGCTATACAATTTCCTCGTATGGTTCTACAGAAAGATTCTGAGAATACCATAGACGGAGTATGTGAGCCACGAGGAAGTATTAAAGAGAATGGAAACAAAATGGACACATACTCAGAATCAGAAGAGGCAGCTGACATTTCTGGGACATATAATGAAGAAGACGGGCTTGGAAAATTTGGCACTCACTGGACATATCGGAGGCCAAAATGACATAGTGAGGCAGCTGACCACCTTTTTGATGAGCTTATGTGAATGAATAGCAGAACGAGAAGTGGAAGCGATGTTAAAAAGACGGACATTAATAAGAGCTGCACGGATTGTAGAGAGTCATATTCGCCTACACCCTGAATGGACACCACACATAGAAGAATATAATTGTAGGTGATCTATGTTTGGTTAATAAACGAGAAAAGTAGTTTATTTTTTTATTAATATATCAGTGTTATTTCCAAAACATTATGAAGGGGGTGATTTTCGTTCCTTATGTATAGAAATATCTAAAATAATTTAATCAATCTAAATAAGACACAGAAAAATAGAAGATAGAAAAAAATCATAGTGATGCTAAGTGCTTCGTATAAAACCAGTATCGTATAACTGGCGCCATGTTTATACATACACCGTACACCAATAAAGTTAGATATAAATACAATCGCACGCATGTAAACATTTCTGTGCGGACAAATTATTGCATGTCTCAATAATTGATAAAAATGTTTCAATAAAATTGTCTAGAACACATTTTCTGAACTTTTAAAAAAGATAGTAATATTGATATCTGTAAAATAATACTTCATATTATATAACCTATTTAAGTATTGATGAACCTTAATTTGGTATGCATTTATATGAGGGTATACATTTCATCATTTTCCCCTTTTTTAAATTCATTTCTGAACCGGATAATTTTTAAATTGTGAGGTGTGCATAATAAACTGTATTTGATCCCGTTTCAAATGTGAGGGCAATAAGATTGTATTGTGCTAGCATTCGAAAGTGGGAAAATTTAACTGCCTTAAAAATCTGCATTCAACATTCAGGCTTTTGTCGTATTGCAAATGCTGATCATTGACGTAACTACCCCGGCCACGGAGTTCTTAGCCAAGGAGTTTCTGGATTAACCGAAACCTTTCTAATTACTTTTTCTCTTTCCTTCCATAAATATGCAACGTACCACATCTACACTGTTTGGTGTATAAAAAAAAAAAAAAAAACTGACTTAATGAATGTCCTCATTAACCCACTGAATTACTAATAAATGCCGAATAACTAAAGTACACCTCCTCACTTACCTCCCCGGCACCACAGCTGCTGCTGCTGCTACCAATTCGTATGACCTTCACATACCTATTCATTTTTATTTATATTCGTTCGTCGTTTTCAACACAAGTCGTCTGTGAGAAATCAGAGAAGTCGATAGTGCTTCATGTTTGTTAAACGTTTACCATACCACATACAGGCTAAGATGCGGTTCTTTATTCCAGGTTAGTGATGCTCGTTAGCAGAAAACTTTGATAAAACAAGATAAAGCGACACTTCAACAAGTGCAGTTAATTGTAAACAAAACTGACAACAGTCAGGAGGACGGATTCCTATGAAATGCAAATAAATCTTTCGACAAGAGCTGAAAAGCTCTCGGCTCAACCGACTTCTCAAAATCTGACCAAATGATCAAAAATCATATAATTTGCCTTTAAAAAAAAACTTTTGGATTAGCAGAGAACTTTTCAGCTCACCCACATACTTGTAAAACCTGCGACCTATGTCGCTATATAGCTAAATCTTTTTCTATCTGGTGAGTTAGTAGCAAATTTGTCTTCGATATCAGATATATTTTAAATACAATGTGTTGTAATGTTACCTTTGTTCAAAATAGCCGAGAATTATGAAGGCCATAGTTAAAGAGTGTCGAAGGAACAGAAGACTAGGTAGAGGAAACAAAGAAAAGGTTTATTAAATACTCATACAAAGAGCTAAACTTGAGTAAATCAAATACTCAAATCCTACTCTAATGTGGCTACTTGCCATATTTATCAGTAGAAGCAGTCTATTGTCACAGTAGTAGGGAAGAGCGGGAAATATGCAAAAGTCCTACTCTACAACACAGTGTAACAATTGTGGACTATATATATATATATATATATATATATATATATATATATATATGTCTCTTAATCAAACGACCGATTTATACATTGTTGATATTCAGGTGTTTGATTAGGTATATTTTTAAAAATTTTAACCTGGAATAATTGCAGCGTTCGATATTTGAACAGCATCAAAAATCGGTTGATCCTCTTCTTGAACGAATCTTAATCTCTTACTGTTGTCCATAACTGCAGTACACCCACACACGTGTAAATATACGTTCGTATAAAATAGATATATGAGTATCGATCAATTCATACACACAACTATTTATCGAATGATGCAAGTATATATCTATATAGTTATATACATGCGCTTGTTTCAATAAGGGAATATGCCAATGATTGCGAGGCTATTCAAATTAGTTCGGCACATGCAAATTCCATGAGGTTCCCAGTGAAGAAGAGATTCACAAGCAATGTATTGCTAGTTTATTAATCTGAACAGCATTTTTAATCGATTGATTGATTTCTTTTTTAAGGCTTATCAATTTTTTACAGGTTATTTAAAGTCAAAAAATATTATTAGATTGTAAAAATGTTTTGAAGATAATAATGATTTACTGATACAAGTCCTGCTAATTAACCCATAGCTGGGGGAGAGAAGAAGTGGATTCATGCCTTTCCCAAGAGTATTTGCGCGTAAGTAAATATAGCGAACGCGACTGAAATTGGTACTCTATTGCACCAGCCGCACATACAAGCCTTATAGCACCTGATATTCTAGGTACTGACCAGGCTCGAACTTGCTTAACTTCGGTGATCGGACGAGAACCCGTGTTTCAACGTGATATGGCCGTAAGTCTATCATCTTTACAAGTGCTCTTTAATATATATCGAAAACGTGTCCCCACTTACAAATATATATTCAGCTCTGATTAGTAACAGAAAGTTAATTCTTAGGTTGGAAAGAAATCTTGCAGCATTTCTGATGTGATTACTTTGAGGGTACCTTTTTAATTCTTTTGAGGGTACCTTTTCAATTCTTACTGTAAAATAAACAGTAATTCTAATGTTTTTCCTTCTCTGCAGATTACTTAATATCAGAGTAGGTAAATTTTGTTTCGATTGTACCCTTTTAAAATCAGTTTAGATCAGACCCGTATCACACACTATATATACTGTATGAATTCAAAAAGAGTTTTTCAACAACGGAAGTGCTAAAAGAATATTCATTCTGTCTATGGAAACGAAAATACCAACGATCGAGGAATTTTTCTTTCGATGATTTCATTCGATTTGAACGACAAAGTTTTACCAATATTGAGCTTCTGCAAAGCCTAGTTGAATAAAATCCTAAGCAAACTGCACGAGAATTAGCAAAACAGTTCAATACACGTCACATTTCGATCATAAAACACCTTCATAGAGCAATTCGACGTGGTGTAATTGTTAGCAAGCTTGTTTCGTTAGATCAATTACGACTGAATAGTGAGTTCGATCCTCACTAGGCCTTGTGCCACATCTAAGCTACGCTTAGAAAATCACCATAAAACACCTTCATAAACTCGGAAAAGTGTCTAACCTTAGTCAATGTGTTCCTCCTCATCTGAGTGCTTCTCGTCATTGAAGAGTAGACTTGCTACCGGATTCTGGGTAGAATCATCATTAGTGATGAATAGTGGGTTCCTTAAAATCATATCCAACGAAAACAATAATTGTAAGCACTCACTGAAAAAAAAAGAAGAGAATCCATCTCCAAAGCCGTACTACATCAGAAAAAAGTTCTAGCCTGTATCTGATGCGATATAAAGGGCTTCGTCTATAATGAAGTAATCAACCAAAACAAAATAGCTGTTACGGAGGACTATTGTCTTCCGTTGCACAAAAGTTCGAAAAAAAAAAAAAAAAAAGAAAAAAAAGAGTGTTTTTACACGATAATACAAGACACCATATTGCTCGAGTGACTCATGAAAAGATTATGGCATTAAATACAGAAGTTTTGACCTCATTCTCCTTACTCACTTGATATTGCTCCATCTTTTTACATCATTGCATCATTTTTAGAGGGAAAATGTTTATTAATTGATAAGAACTTAAAATTGATATTGAGGGTTCATTTTTTATTTTTTGCACCGAAACGAGAAACCTTTTCGCTCGTGCAGTCAACAGCTTGTGAAATAGACGTGATTATGTTATCGATAATCAGGGCAAATAATATCTAGATTAAATATATCAATAAAGACCAAAGAGGCGTTTGTTCTTTTCCATCTTAAAATGCGACAGGACTATCTTTCCAACTTAACACTTTCATAATCAACAAACAAATAATAATAATAAATAGTGTAATAAGCATCAGCTAGCATAACGGTTCCTAGAAAAAAAAAAAAAAAAAATGTTGAGGGCCATATCTGTCTATATCTCTGAGACGAGGTATTACGATTACTTACATTATTCGGACTGTTATCCTTATCTTCAATTGCCATATTCACAACGTTTCGGCCATTGTACGCCTTCTTCAGGTGATTGGAATTCCGTCCACTGTGGTAGATTCTAGTTCCACGTGCCATGCCTATCCGGATGTCTCAGTTATTTCCCCGTAACTCATCTCTCCAAGTTTGTGGCCTGGTATTGATCTCACAATGATCTAGTCACTGGATCGAACCAACATTGGGCCATGTGTCCTTGAGGACATCTGTGTATGAATATTTTGGATTTATAAATCTAATGTCTCAGCAACCATTTTTGCCAGTGCTCATATTGCAATTTTTCTGTTATTATTATTGTTTTTTTACCAGAGCTCATATTGCAATTTTTGTTGTTATTCATTGCTTTTCTCTAACACTTCTTATTACTGGTTCCCATATTGTATTCGTATCTATGCTTGGTCGACTCAGGAGATTTTGTGGCCTAGCATATGTGCTAATTAAGGTTTTCATATTTTCTAGTGATGCTCTCTGTCTATTATTTCAATTTCATCCCACAGAAAAGACATGGCACGTTGAACTAGAACAATCTACTCCGGTGGACGAAATCAAGTGTTCGGTTCGAAATTCCAATCACCTGAAGAAAGCCGGAGCGTACAACGGCCGAAACGCCGTGAATATGGCAATGAAGATGAGGTTAACAGTCCGAATAATGTAAATAATGTTGAGGACCATTTTAGACATATTTCAAAATATAATTCTTTGCGTCTAAGATTGTCTGACTCAAAAGATGCGTTGTAAAACTTTAGTTCGTAAAAAAAAATCAACATTTTGCATCTGCCATTCTACTCTTAGATATTGAAATTAACCCTGAACCACTAATGTATATATTGTAAATATGTCACAGTTCCCTTCCACTGTAAAATTATAAGATTAGAATTTGTAAGACGTTATTAAAACTAATATCTAAATCCTTTCTTTGTAAATTTATTCTTCATGGCAGTGTTTAATTCTGAGGCCGTAGTATCTTTGTTAGTTTATATATAAATTATGTGAGATATCCTTAGCCGAAGTTAACCACCGTCTAGTTTCATGATGTTTGATCTATATTCAGCAAAACAGAAAATTACAAAGTACTGAATAGAAAAGAAAAGAATAAAGGAATAACAAAAGAAAAACGTGTCTATTTTTTCTTGGCTTTTCATCTTTTGATTTGACATCCTATTTCTGGTAAAACATTTAAGACATTTCTTTTCAGCGTAAAACATTTTAAATTTAAATTTTAAACTCGTTTTCTTATGTAGTAATGCGTCAAGAATGAAGGCACCTTAGCGTGGTGCAAGTCATTAGAAGCAAGTTCAAACCTTAATGAGTGCCACATATATATTATCTTTTGCCAAAGTAAAGCTAAGCTTTGAAAATAACTAGGAATTTTTCAGCTGATTTCGTAGACGACAAACTGCATATCTCTGTCAGAAATACACAAGCAGTATAAATAGTATGGTTTGAGGCAATTATTTCTTTAACAAGCATGTAGGCTTGTAGCTTATTTATTAGTAGAGTACTAAGTAGAATTATTGCTGCTCTGGTAACTTTATCATAACTAGAATCTGTGCTGATGTAGTTTTCGAAGTATAAATTTGGTAACACCATCGTAGTAGCTTCTTCCTCGTAACATAACCTGAAGATTTAACATAATTTATAGCACTAGTCTTACAGAGGGTGTCACGTCCGAGGGTCACGTGATCGAGGGTTTGAATATATTGGTCTTGCTTAATTACTAATCACACCAGATAATGCGCTCTCCCCCAGAAACGCTAAATAAGGTCAACATAGCTTCAGTATAAGCCACAGGTTGGCTCTGTGGGTGTTGAAGAAGGCGTCTGCAACAGTCTCCTCAGAATGACAGATGCCACCAACCATGGGTGTCTACGGGCGTATATATATATAGAGAGAGAGATAGAGAGATAGATAGATATATATGTATGTATATATATATATAGATGTATATGTAGATAGATATATGTATATATAGATACATAGATAGATATATGTATACATAGATTGATACATATGTATATATAGATACATAGATAGATATATGTATACATAGATTGATACATATATGTATATATAGGTACATAGATAGATATGTATACATAGATAGATACATAGATATGTATAGATACATAGATATGTATATATACATACATACACATAGTATGTATAGATATATACATACATATGTATAGATACATACATACATATATGTATGTATACATACATATACATGTGTATATATACATACATACATACATACATACATACATACATACATATACGTATACATACATACATACATACATACATGTACGTATACATACATACATACATACATGTACGTATACATACATACACATACATACATACATGTACGTATACATACATATACATACATACATGTATAGACATACATACATACATATATGATACACATACATACATACATACATACATATATGGAGATACATACATACATTCATACATTCACATAGATAGATACATAGATAGATACATACATACATACATAGATAGATACATACATACAGTGTGGACACAGTAATAAACACTGGACAGTGACTATCAGTTTCAGGCTTTCTGCGATCTTTAGACGAAGTACACTTGGACTGAAAATCGCAAAGAGGCGTGAAACTGACAATCATGATGCAGTATTGATTCCTATCTCCACACTGGATATATCTATAAACGCTCTATCTTTGATATTGAGGTCTCTTCCGTGACAAAAATTGTAACAGCATCAGAAATCGGTTAATCCTCTTCCTGAACGAATCTTAATCCCTAACTTTTGTACATAACTGCAGTGCGCTTACAAACACACACTTACGCACATGCACACTCATATATTTATAGGATTAATACAAATATAAAATGTGTCACTTAACTGATTGATATTATATTTCGTAGACAAACCTTAATGTAATCGTTCGATCCACTCGTCAGAAGGTTTAAACAATTGACAAATAAATTGACTAATATCCTTAGGAAAGTTATGAGTCCTCTTCTTCTACCCCCACAGCTGGACGGACCAGGTTCTATAGCCTTGGATGGCAACTGGTCGAGTCTATAGACTTGGATAGCAACTGGTCAGTCATATATCGTATCACGCATGGCACATAACTGAGTTGATAAACAGAGCAATAATTATTATTACTAAATTAAATGTTTAAAATACTTATCTGTGACCGACTAAAAGTTTCAAGTGATGATGTCTGAACCTGATGAGCGACGGCATCATGAAACTTTTAGTCGGCCACAGATACCCATTGCGACCATTTAATACGTTCATCTAAATGCAAAAATCGGTTAAAATAATGAATTGACTGATTGATGTGTTTTTACGGCTTATTAACCTTTG